TTCATTATCGATTCTTGGCAATACTCTTAATCACAGCCTACATATGCATCCATGCGAAAACAATATTAGTGACGGATTAGTATAAGCTTCGGCTTGTTTCTGAAACCATTGTTCATATTATGTAATTATCCGTTGTAAATCATGAATAAATATTGTTTAAAAAAAAAAAAAAAAAAAAAAAACCATATTAGTAGGCCTAATGTAGCGAGATTAAAGATATGAAAGAGAAGCATTATGTCAAAAGGAAAAGGTGGCAATTTTCCATTTTTGGAACGTTTGATGCCATGTTTTAGCCTTAATTTAAAGACTAAAGATTTCTGGTGGTTAGTATTTGGCTTTGGAATTCAAAATTTCCTATTTATAATATGGACGCTCCTTATTCAGGGGATTTAATGATAGATATTAATGAATAACGGTGGTTAAGTCTTCCTCATGTGACACGTTTTAGCTACACAATCGGTCTTCTAAAGACTTAAAAAGGATGTCGATTTGTAAAACATTACAACAATTCCTTACAGGAACAGCTAGCACTAAACCAGAATGTCTTGAATGTAACGATTAATGTGAAACGAGACGGTGATTCACGCCCTAATTTATATTCTCGGAATATCTAACAATATCTTAAATTATCACATGCTCACATGGGTATCTGAAAACCTGTAGGTTATGAGCCGATATTAGTAAAGCTAGATTTAGAGATGACTATGCAAATTCAAGAACGTCTTCCCACAAAACAAATACCAGACTTATAATGATGAAAAGCAGTTGAAATATTGTTTCAAATGGAAAGAAGTAAATGAGATCTGTTATTATCTATTTGTTTGATTGAAGTTTATATTTAGATAGTATCAACCCTTTGTTTATAAATCTGTTTTATCTCGGCCTTAATTGTTACAGACTGCAAAATTTACGTAGAATTAAAAAAAAAAAAACCAAGATGTCTACATTGCATCCTACAACACATACTACATTGCATCAGAATCAACCTTTAGTTAGATATAAGGAAGAGTTCCACTTGCAGTTGTTGAGATCTTTCTCAAATTTTCTCTTATGGACAAAGGGGTGCTTTTGAGTCCTGATGACGAATCATTTAAGTAAGACTTCAATGTACTTCATCTCGATTCATTTTATTTTGAAAACGACTGAAAGGGTTTTAAGTATTTCAAATATGCGTGGGTTTGTATGCATTCTTAATCATATTAATATGAACTGAATGACATTTAAAGGTTACAACACCTTATAATATATTAGTTAAATATCTTATATATCACCTGTTGTAAAGAATACTTATCATTCTCTATATCATAACATTTTGGTTTATTGAAATTCAGTACATGCGCTCAATGTCATTAAAAAAGAGATGGGCAAAAAAACTAGTAACTCTGTGTCACAATACAATATACTGATAGGATATTATCTTCGTTACGTAAAAAGTGTCCAATCTGTGTTTTCGAATAGAGTTTAGATTTTCACCCTATTTTAATGAATTATGCTTAAGTTTTGGCGGAGAACGGTTTTTGAATTACTGACTTCATAAAGCTAAACCTGTCCTCACCTTTCTACACTTCGTTTCTTTATAGAACAAAATCTTAAAAGGGCTGAATCATGAATTGTGAAGAGTTGGGAACAGTTTTTATATGCCCACATGAAATGGGGGCGTATATTGCTGTCACCCATGTCCGTTCGTCCGTCCGTCCGTCCACAATTGCTCGTAAACACTCTACAAGACACAATTCTTGACGGATTTGGACAAAACTTGGTATGAGTGTTCTCACCCAAGGATAAACCCTATTGAAAATCAGAAGAATTAATATTTAGTATAAGTTATTCCCCTTGTTCTTGAAAACGCGTTCCCGTCTTCATTAGCCCACATGGTGCAGAAAGGACGAAGTAAAACTCCATTCATTTCATTTCATTTGAAAACGCGTTCAATTTTTAGCTCATAAACACTCTAGAAGGGACAAGTCTTGATGAATTTTAACGAAACTTGGCATGAGTGTTTGTAATCTCCCAAGGATGAACCCTATTGAAAATCAGAAGAATCGAAAAATATTTAGTATGAGTTATTGCCTTTGTTCTTGAAAACGCGTTCAATTTTCAGCTCGTAAACACTCTAGAAGACACAATTCTTGGTGGATTTCGACGAAACTTGACATGAGTGTTTGTTATTGAAAACTCGTTTAATTTTTCACTCTAGAGGGCACAATTCTTGACGGATTTTGAGGAAACTTTGTGTGAATGTTCGTAATCACTCAAAGATGAACCCTATTGAAAATCAGAAGAATTGAAAAATATTTAGTATGAGTTATTGCCCTTGTTCTTGAAAATGCTTTCAAATTTAGCTCTTAGACACTAAGAGGCATGATTCTTGCTGGGTTTTGACAAAACTTGGTTTTATTATTCAGTCCCGCGCTGAAAATTGAATATTTGCCTTCTAGAGTTTTACGAGCTAAAAATTAAATACGTTTTCAAGAACAAGGGCAATAACTCATACTCAATATTTAGTAGAATATAGGACAATAACTCATACTCAATATTATTCAGTATCGCCCTAAAGAGTTCAAAAGAAGTGTATGACTGAAGGTTGAATATTTCATACTGGTGATTGTTACTGTACTGCTAAATATTTTTATTCAAAATATATATTACCTTGCCTGGCAAGATATCTTTAGTGTTTTGAGTGGAGGGCCAAAAGCGCCATGTCAAGATGACAAAATGGTAACCTTTTTACATTCTTGAATCAAACAATTACAACTAGGTAATAAAATATAAATTTTTAATATAATTGAACATTAAGATTGTTATCATATAGTAAGTTATTTAGCGTGACCATCGTGAATAACACTATAGCATATCCTTACATCAGTTATTTAAAGGGGATGGTCGGGGAAACGCCATCTATTGTTTCTTAAAATGTTCTTAAATGGAGTTGCAAAGTTTGGCTTACAATTAGAATACAGTGTTCAAATTGTTTACTGCAGCATCTACCAATTGTGTTAATGATTATATTTCAAGACATGATAGTACCCAAAATCCAATTGAAATGAATGTATTGTCCTGTACTATTGTGTGTATTAATAATTATTATCGTTAAATTTTCTGTTTTTGTTCCCATCTATACAACCAATCTGTAAATTGTACAATCTGTAAGGAATGTGTACCTTTAATTTTTTGATAAACTTAATCAGATATGCACAGAGATTGCAATATATAATTTATGTCTTTTATACTGATAAATAAAGACATGCTAGGGTTAATCCACTATGTAAAAAGCCTGGTAACTCATGCTCAGGGATCTGGTATTTTCATTCTTGGAATAAAAAAAACCGATTTGAGTAAGTTCTAAGATTTAGTTTCAATTAAAAGACTGTTCATGGAAGTAAGTGAGCGTTAAGTGGAAATATAAGCATATCTTTGGAATGGCCATTGGATATATTCAGAAAGACAACAGTGTGATACCAGATGTCAGTTATATCATTTATATAATTTCCGCTACCACTCTGTGTTTGTCCACGTGAAGTCCAAAACTGAAAGGATTTGATTATTGTCCCTAAGTAAAAATTGTTAAGGTGTCTTATGACAAACTACTATTAATTCTTCTGGAACATAATGTAACTTGGGTTACATTTTTTTGTGTTTTATTTTCTGTTCGTTTTTATAGGCTTTAGACATTTTATTTATAATAATTAGTGTTAGGGTGTATTGAGACGAGTCTAAATGAAAGCACTGGCCTAGATCACACAGCAATAGATAAGTCTATTAATTATGTTAAAATTAGTTAGTCATTAGTATGATTTTAGTTGAAAAGACACACACAAAAACATACACTGCATTATATATAATATACTGTATATACCCATGGCACCAGTCCTGAGATAAGTATTCCCTGAAATCTAACTTAGAAATCGATTAATTTATTGATAGAACATGATACATTTATATTAAGAAATCTATGCTCTTAGGATGAATGGACATTGTTCAATGGTTCAAGTCTACCGTGAAAGAAGAAATTGCTAAGATTTTGATTTCTTTTGTAAGCTACAACCAAACGTTTTGTGTATACATGGGGAAATTTGTTCTGAAGTTCCGAGTAATGGCGTTTGACTATTATGGAGGCTTTGGTAGCTGTAGAATCAAATGTCGTTATAAAGGGTATTATCTGGTTATCATGTTGAATGTTGAGTCCATTTGGCCTCACAGTCTGCAATTGATCGATCCAATAACTTTCGCGTTTTAGACGTCTAAGCTTAGGTTTCATGCTAGGTGATGTAGAAACTGTTTCTATAGGCATGATCAGTTTTTGGCGTTGTCAGCCACGTGACTAAAATTGTTCAAGGGAAGATTTGACCGGGAAATTATTGGCAGCAAATTTCGTGAAGGGAGGATACAGTATTGATGCCAATATATCTTTAATAACAACATATCGCCACGTGTCGGTATAATTAACTATATTATATTTATCATATATAGTGTATAGATACAATCAGATAAGAACAATTTCTGGTATATAGAGTGCGGCTCATGGAGAAAATATTTTGTACTATTGAAATTGTATTGTTTTCGTATGATTTGTAATTCTTGAGATACATCACTGATATTCATTTTTGGTTTATATGAATATCTATTTAAAGTGAATCTTAAAATCTGATATGACACTTTGAAAGAGACTTGCTTCACCAGTAGATATAGTATGGAATATGAAAACTTTTAGCTGCAACATCTTGTTTCTATTTTCAGACTGAATGAAGATGAAGTCTCAAGCCAACAATACATTGGTTTCTCTACTGTTGGGAGTTCAACTCTTACAGAATACTTTCGGCAAATCTTACCCCTCATTACAGACGTTACCACGTGAAGTTCACCATCCACAATCCTCGTTAACTGAAAGACTGTTTCAACTGCCCTCTACACCACGACATAACAGATTTTACCCCAAGAAGCGAAACCTTAAAACACGAAAGTTACTGAAACGGTTGGGTAAAGCGTATGATGAAAACTGGATGTCCATAACTCAACCTGTGCACATACATGAAATTGTTTCAAACAAAATCGACCATAAACTTGTTGCAGAAGCAAGACATGTTAATTTTACAATCCCCGGAGTGCCAAATAGTAAACAACCAAATATCACCAGTGCTATGTTGAGTGTGTTTCAGGATTGGTTGATACAGCGCGGTTCATGTCCCGTTCATTTCCTATGGGAAGATCTGGGTATAAATTTCTGGCCACGCTGGGTAAAACGTGGTTTCTGTGTCGACGAAGATTCTTGCTCTTGGCCTCCGGGAATGCATTGTTTACCAGCAGAAGGTAAAAGAATTCGCCTTTTACGGTGGCAATGTGTACCCAGATTCAGAAGAAATAGCCCATTTAAACCAAACAGAAAGACAAAAGATGACCAACAGAATACCACAGAACCAAAAATGAAGAAACAGAAAAGGAAATACGGAATGAAGTGTAAATGGATGAAAATACCGTACCCTGTTACTGATGAGTGTTTCTGTTCTTGTTAGTGTTCAATAGTAAATTTGTTCAGACTACAAGGTCACTAACAAGATTACAGGATGATATTCATTGACTCATTAAGAGTGTTTTTAAAAGAATAATAATATAATATTCTCAATCAGTAACAATTTTCTTTTGTTGGAAACATGTAAATAGTTTACATTTATATCTGTTAAACCGACATATTTATCTGAACATTATTTTCAATTATACCCCATAATATGAGGTTTTGGAAATGAATAAGAATTCTAATAAAGAAAGTTTAAGTTTACTGAGAATACTGTCTGTAGCTTAGAATCTTGTGAGAGGTTGTTTACTCTATATATATAAAGTCTTTTGAGTTCACATATGATTTGCGAATAGAATTATGTTTGGATCTTTTAACAATAAAGAAATGATGACATCAATTCAATCTGTAAACTCTAGTATCAGAAAGGTATTCTCTCGTTTTTGTAAGATATTTTATTTAAAAAAAACTATGACGATAACTTCGAAATTATAGCCAAAGCCACCATGCTTGTGTAATTTGGCTGCATTATTACAGAATCAGATTACTGTTCTATATAAACTGTATATATTATAATGTTTAATGATTTGAACGTGTTGAAATATTGCAATATTTCCTGAAATTATCTATGTAAATATTTATTAGCTTGTTGACGTGTAAAGGTAAATTATTATTTAAACATAAGACTTGAGTTTGTCTTGTACAATTCTTGTAGATTTTCTGTATGTAACGATAAGGTATTGCATGTGTTTGTTGTTAGATTGTCTGAAAGATATAGAAAGAATTATCTATCTTAACTTTCGCGGTAAATGTTAACAATGCGGGGACTCCTTCTAGGCTGCACTCTAATCATCACCCTTCTTTTTATTCACCATTTGAATGGGTTATAAACCGGTCACTTGATTTGATGGTAACTAGGTAGTCGGATAATGCAAATGTGAGAGAGGTTTTACTCGGTGTTATGGGTTTGCTGGATTATATACCTTTACATTATTTTTACCTATAAATATGAAACTATATATATATTTATAATATATTATAAACAGTGTATTAACACCTGTAGATAAAATTTATTATATTGTATTACTCATGACTCCAAGCAATAATTGGTTGTCTTAATTTAACCCATGTACTTTATTTGTAAAATCCGGAGTATTGATCCCCAATATTATTTTAATGCTTTCAACATTTATAAACAACTTGGATAATATTCCTTAATACATTTATGTGAAGAATTACACTTATTGCGTGTTACTTTTGGTGGTCTCGTGTTGGTAAAAGCATGAAACGTCTACTACTAGATTCAAATATATCAAATTGAATTGTTTTTCTTCAATTAATCAAAACAAGTGAATTGCATTGTACAGTAAATGTAGATTGTAAACGTATTTGGTAGGTCGTCTAAAAACGTATTCATTATAATTTGAAATTGGCTGATTTTTTATGCAAGGAATGTAGATACAGCACGTACCACCAGAATTAAGGGTAACTTCGTTCATTATTCAGCAACCCAATACAAACCAAAATATTTTCTTTAAAGATTTTTTGCAGTAAAGTTCCATGTTTTATAGTAATTCAATGCTACGTGTAATTAATAAAGCCTTTAAAAGAAGTAGAATTGAGGATTGTTTAAAGAAATAGAGGAGATCGTGTTGCTGGGTAAATACCAGCATGATTGATGGCGTCTTCTGACAATCCGACAAAAACTCTAATGATAAATGTAACGGTAAATAAGTTATTGTTGATTTTATTGAATTTAATTGTCCAATGTTTTTTTTGTGCAAATGAAGTACGTCATGTCAGATTTTTGAATTGTTGGAGAGGTCCCAACTGATGTAAAAAACAAATACACTGTTATATTCCTTTAGTAATTCAAGCCAATGAGGTTCCCCCATGTAGGCCTTCATCAAAACAGCAATCATGTTATAGCGATTTTGGGCAACAACATACTCTGTTAATCTGACTACCAAAGACCGGGGTACGGACAGTTGCTCAACGGAAAATTGCTTATCGAACAGTTGCTCACCGGTCTGGCAGTTGCTCATCCGACAATTGCTTACCAAACAGTTCCTCACAAAAAAGACAGTTTCTCATCGGACAATTGCGTACCGAACGGTTGCTCACCGGTCAGACAGTTGCTCATCGGATAATAGCTTACCGAACAGTTGCTAATCGGATAAATACTCACAGGACAGAGAGTGGTTCATCGATCGGACAATTGCTTACCGAACAGTTGCTCACCGGACAGACAGTTACTCATCGGATAATAGCTAACCGAATATATGCTCACTGGACAGACAGTTGCTCATCGGTCAATTACTTACCGAACAGTTGCTCATGGGACAAATGCTCACCGAACAGTTGCTCATCAGACAGACAGTTGCTCATGGGACAATTGTTAACCGAACAGTTGCCCACTGGACAGAGAGTTGCTCATCGGATAATTGCTTACCGAACAGTTGCTCACCGGACAGACAGATGCTCATGAGACAATTATTTACCGAACAGTTACTTACCGGACAGACAGTTGTCATCGAACAAATTTTAATGATCTTTATTACAAAACAAACATGAGAATTAAAATTGTTATACTCTTTTTGCAAATTTGGAAACATTAACAACCACAGAAATTCCTAAATGTAATTGACAGTTCCATACAGTGTCATGATTTGTTTGACATAGTAAGCTTACTTTCTGTAAAACTCTCCAATTGAATCATTGCGCAATTCTTCCTAAAATTGTAAATTGTAGATTAAGAAATGACAAGTTTGAAAAAAACAATGGTTAAACTCGTATAAAAGGTTAAAAAGAATTTGTGAGAATCAGCTGGTGTTACCAACTGTCAAAGTATGACAGCAGACAGAGAATACAAACCAGGCTCATCTGGGTATTTTTTGTGAAGTTATGCAATGCCCTTTTTAGGGTTTCTTTGAAGAACCTCCCGCTTCTGTCTCATGATGTCCCACTTAATCTTGTGATGGGGTCTGCATGGGTTTGGTTTTAGAAGCCTTTCAATGATTCCCTCTATTAAGCCATCATTTGTGAAAAGGAGGCACGGGTCTTTAAAATTGAATATGAGCAGAAATTAAATAAGCTATGAAATTGTGTTGAGGAATTGCATATCTCATTTTCTCATTTCTTTGGTAAGAAATTGTTCGGTGAACCCAATGAGCAACTGTTGGTGAGCCCAATGAGCAACTGTTGGTGAGCCCAATGAGCAACTGTCCGGTGAGCACAATGAACAACTGTCCCTGGAGCAACAGTCTTACACTCCCAAAAGAACATATCGGAAAGGTGAAGTAATAATTGTTAAAGTAAAAGTTACAAATATTACCTTGGTGAAAAAGAAACTCTTTTTGAGATTAAGTCAGTGAAATTTCCTATTAATGATTTGCCTCTGAGAATGAAAATGCGACGGTTATTGTCAATAATAAGAAACTAAAATTTTAAAAACATGAATCTGAATAGAAAGAATTCTATTATACATAATTTGTTACATTAAGTGAATTCGAAATTAGACAGATGCTAAATGGAATAAAATAAACCAACTGTAATCCCTGAAGACATGATATTTACATGGAATGTATCGTTTTAGTATCATCCTTATTACAATACACATACTTCGGTGTTCTCTTTCAATGTATGTATTTTAAATAACATAGCTAAAATTATATAATAGATGGAAAAAAGAGATTTACAGACTATTTAAATATACAGACATTTATAACATTCAATGTTTTATAATGTAGATAGTTGCATAGAAATTTTCTGCATATTTTTGACGACAAACTGTTTTTTTCCTTAAAAAATCATCCATTCAAAATGTGTGCGTGTACTTAAACTTAGGCCTATCTAC